AGAAATGTTTTTCTAGGGTTACCACTTTTTGGCATCAATTTTTTCTCCTCAGTTTGTAATCATGGCCTCTCATACTTTCTGAGAGGTCTGAGCCTTGATCAAGCTAATGAACATTTCAGGCTTGTGTTTGATTCATGGAAAGTCTTAGCTAATCATTGTACAGTGATAAAATTGTGTCCTATTATTTTTATTATTACAGCATTTTGTTGCCTGACCTAGTATAATAAATAAACTAGCCATTTGCCATAAGTAGTCTGAGTCTACCTTGGAGATGATATCTTGATGAACGTAGTACAGTGGTACCTAGAGTTACGAACTTAATTCATTCCAGAAGGCTGTTAGAGTGCTGATACCAAACTAATTTGTTCCCATGAAGAATAATGTAAATTAGATTAGTCCATTTCAGACCCCCAAAAATACACTTACAAAAGCACTTACAAAACTACACTTACATAACTGTTCGAGTTGGGAGCTGTTTGAAACTCGAGATACCACTGTATATTAGCAACCAATTTAAGCATTTACAGAGCTGCTCGGCAATGCTATGCTGGCTTTGTAGGTGGTACAGAGGAAGGTTGCATTAGCTATGTGCTCACCTTTTTTTTTTTTTTTTCACCCATGAGGAATATATGCTGGCTAGGAGTAAGGAGGTATGTAATTTAAATGCACTGATCTATCATTTAGGATGTGGCAATTTAAAGTATTTAGGCTTTGTGCCATTTTCAAAATTATCATGTCTAGTGAGAGCCTGTTGGTGCCCTGTTAGGGTATATATTTCAACAGAAATAGGCAACACCTTTGAGTGCTAAAGCTACCCAGCTCTGATTTTAGTAAAGTACAGGCGGGCCTTACTTTACAACACTTCGCTTTACAAAGTTTCACCAATACAGCAGTTTTCAATTACAGTGGACCCTCAGTTATCGGCCGTAATCCGTTCCAGAAGGTCGGCCTAAAACCGAAATAATATTTCCCATAAGAGTTAATGTAAATACAATTAATGCATTCCAGACACCCAAAAATATTAACAAAAAATACATTTTTTAAAGATTAATTATAATTTTATATACACAAAACAGTGAGAACTAAATAAAATAAATAAATGAACATTTAAATCACTATTACATACCTTTATTGAACACTCTTGTTGGTTTCTGGAAGACAGGGATGAGGAGAGAGGGAGGACTGATTATTGTTTGGAAGGGGAATCCCCTTCTATAAGGACTTCGGGTATCAAAGCCCTCTATGGGGTTACTTCCCTCCCTGGCTGCTACACTCCCTGCATGCCTGGTACACCCCCTGCCTCCCTGCTACACTCCCTCCCTCCATGCTACACTCCATCCCTCCATGCTACACTCCCTGCCTCCCTTCCACACCATATGTGTAAAGAACCTAGGATAATCCCCAAAAAGTCAGACAGAGTGACTTATTTCCATTGGGGTCCTGCCTGCTACACTCCCTGCCTCCCTGCTGAACTCCCTTTTGCAACATTAGCTTCCTTGATTTCTTCTTTCTTTGCCAGGATGGAAGTGATTGTTGATTTGGATTTCCTATACATCCTGGCAAGTTCTAGCACTCAAACACCACTCTCATACTTTTCAGCAACTTCTTTCTTAAATTCCATTGTGTTTCCCACTTTCTTTACCAAAGGAACTTTCTTTGGGCCCATGGTTGCTTCTTATGCAGTTGCACTCAATCAATAACCACAAAAAACAATGGATTATAACATAATGTTTGGATGAATGAGCAGAAGTTTCCTCACTTGCCAAGAGACACAGCCAGACTGACTCACGAATGCGCCAGCGGCTGGCAGCGGGCGGGTGGACGCGTCCAATACGGCCGATAAGTGAAATAACGACTGATGATCGGAATAAAATTTCGACCCAAAACCAGGGCGATAACCGAGTTGGCTGATAACCAAGGGTCCACTGTATAACCATTCTTCATTTATTCAGACTTCCTACAATAAATATATTTCCCACTCACTATAAGCTAAGGAAGAAAATATTTTAAGGTAAGGAATATATGTACAGCCTCTCCTCACTTAGCAACGTTCTTGTTTACTGACAACTCAAACTTATCATGGGCTCTCTGACCAGTATGCATACCTAAATAATGCATATTACAGCTGATTTCCTCTATTTTGTTTACTGCAATATACAATAAACTACTGTATAAACATTTAAAAATATACCAGAAATGTTATAAATGGTTCAAAGGTGACATTAAAACAAAATCAAAGATGGTCGACACAAACCCACTACCATCATAGTATGCTCCTCACTTAGCAACAAATTCATTTAATAATGTGGTCTTAAGACCGGAACTCCGTCGTTAAGTGAGAAGAGGCTGTACTGAATACGGCTATATCACTTACTTAATATATGATAGTGTAAACATGTTATCAGGCTTTTATATACAGTGGACCCCCGCATAGCGACTTTAATCCGTGCAAGAGGGCTCATTGTTATGCGAAATGATCGGTATGCGAATGAATTTTCCCCATAAGAAATAATGGAAATCAAATTAATCCGTGCAAGACACCCAAAAGTATGAAAAAAAAAAATTTTACCACATGAAATGTTAATTTTAATACACACAAACTGAAAAAGGCATGCACAATTACATGACACTTACTTTTATTGAAGATCTGGTGATGATTGATGGGATGGGAGGAGGGGAGAGAGAGTGTTAGTGTTTAGAAGGGGAATCCCCTTCCATTAAGACTTGAGGTGTCGAGCCTTTTCTGGGTTACTTCCCTTCTTCTGTTAATGCCACTAGGACCAGTTTCAGAGCCCACTGGACTTCTTTCGCACAACATATCTGTCCATAGTGGCCTGTACCTCTCGTTCCTTTATGACTTTCCTAAAGTGTTTCACAACATTGTCAGTGTACAGGTTGCCAACACGGTTGCAATAGCTGTGTGAGGGTGTTTTCACCCATGAAGGTTTGCACTTCAAGCCATTTTTGCACAGATTTCCTTAATCTTTGTAGTAGGCAACTTCTTCAATTTCTCTCTCCCCTCCTCTGAACCAGTTCCTCAGTCTGGCCTCTTGCTGTTGAAGTTGATCTATCAGCTCATCAGTGGTTAGTTCTTCATTGTCCTCCTCCACCAACTCTTCCACATCACCCACAAACCTCCAACCCTAAGGACTTTCCCAGTGCCACAATGGATTCCTCAACTGGCATAAATCCTCTCAGGGTTAGCCTCAAACCCTTCAAAATCCCTTTTGTCTACACTTCTGGCCACAGTTTCTTCCCAAAGCAGGTTCAAGGTCTTCTTAGTCACTCCCCTCCCAAGCCTTACCTATAAGGTTTACACAATTGAGGATATTAAAGTGCTCTCCCAAAACTCTCTTAGAGTCAGTTGAGTTTCTGAGGTCACTACAAAGCACCTTTCAAACAGAGCTTTTGTGTACAGTTTTTGAAGTTTGCAATAACCTGCTGGTCCAGGGGCTGCAGGAGAGGAGTGGTTATTAGGAGGCAAAAACTTCCCCTTTAATGAATTTCATGTCCCCATAAAGTCGCTCTGCCCCCGTCTGTAGGTTTGACCAGGGGCATTGTCTAACACCAGGAGGCACTTAAGTTCTAATTTCCTTTTCAGTTAGGAAAATCTTTCACATTGGGGCAAATGCATGGTGAAAACCATCATAGAAAAAGTCCCTAGTGACCCATGCCTTACTGTTTGCCCTCCACAGCACACACAAATTCTCCTTGAGACATTCTTTTCCCTGAACGTCGGGGAGTTTCAGAGTGATACACTAATAAAGGCTTCACTTTGCAATCACCAGTAGCATTGGAACACATCAACAAAGTAAGCCTGTCTTTCATAGGCTTATGTCCTGGGAGTGCCTTTTCCTCCTGAGTAATGTAGGTCCTGCTTGGCATTTTCTTTCCAAAACAGGCCTGTTTCATCACAATTAAACACTTGTTCAGGTTCAGTCCTTCACTGTCTATGTACTCCTTGAATTCCTGCACATATTTTTTAGCTGCTTTGTGGTCCGAACTGGCAGCCTCACCATGCCTTTCACACTATGTATACCACTAAGCTTCTTAAATCTCTCAAATCAACCTTTGCTGGCCTTAAATTCACTCCACATCATCACTAGTTGCAGGGATTTTTTTAATTAAATCCTCATGCAAATTCCTAGCCTTTTCGCTTAAAGATCGCTTGAGAGACGCTATCTCCTGCTAGCTGTTTTTCATTTATCCCACACCAATAAGAGTCTCTCAAAATCTTCCATCACTTGCGATCTCTGTTTCGAAAAAAACAGTTAAACCTTTGGCAAAACAGCTTCCTTGATTGCCTTTCTGTTGCCCACAATAGTAGCGATGGTTGATTTGGGTTTCTTGTACAACCTGGCCAGGTCGGCGACACGCACTCCACTTTCATACTTATCAATGATCTCTTTCTTCATCTCTATAGTAATTCTCACCCTTATTGCTGTAGGGTTGGCACTAGAAGCTTTCTTGGGGCCCATGGTCACTTATTTTGCAGATAAAATCACCAAAAACACTGTAATAATACGAAATGTTCCGATTGTATGCTTGGATGTTACCGCGGAGGCTGGCTGGTAAACAATGCCACCGGCGGCACATGTGAGGCTGGCTAAGGGCGCACATTGGATGCGTCTCGGACGAAGAGCGGTGAGCGGGTTTTTGAACGGTATGCGAGGCAAAATTTTTGCGAAAAAAGCGAGCGGTATGCGGATTGTACGTTATGTGATGCCGACGGTATGCAGGGGTCCACTGTACATTTGAAAGTGAAAAAAAAGGTTGTAAAGCAATTTTTGCTTTACAGCAGTAGTCCAGAACCTAACCTGCTGTATATGTGGGGCCCTCCTGTAGTTATTTCAGTGTAATATATGGGCAATGGTCTGGAGTTTTAGACTCACTTGCCATGGGTTCAAACCTCACCCATGCCACTGTTTGTTCGTAATTGTGTTATTACGATTTCGTTAGTCATGAAATGGATGTGTTACTCTTGCAGCTAGCCAGCCAGGCTACATGAACACATAGTACTGACTACTAACCTTAAACCCCTCATCATTGTACCACTTGGTGAGGCAGTCCCAGAGGGCAGTATTTTGTGGTCGACATTTGACTACCATTGAAAAGCTTGAATCCTTGCAGCACTTTGTAAATTCTGTTGGGAATAAACTTAATTATAGCATCTGTCTATTTTGAATTAATTTCCTTTTACAAAATAATTGAAATAACCATTTATCTTTATGCTAGATACATATAATTCGAGTAGCATATTGTGATTCTAAATGCTGTACAGTATTACAATAATAATACGTAATATGATGATAATATTATTATTATTATTATTACGTATTATTATTATGGGGCTTAAAAAATGTGCGGGATGAAATGTGGAGGGAAAAGGGAAAACAGATGATTGTTTGATGTTATAAATTAAAAAAAAAGTTGGAGGGTCCTGGCCAAAGGGAAACAAAGCTGAAGGGGGTGGGGGGAGTTTCGGTGGGGGGAAATAAAGGGGAATTAAATTGGGTACCCTGAGAGAGTTGAAAAAGGAAGGTGTAGAAAGTAATTATTAAAGGGGATCATTTTATGGAAGGAAAAAAGAGAAAAAGAATGGGAAAATTAAAGAATTTGGGGGTTTAAAAAGTAGGAGGTTGGTAGACAGAAACCCACCCAGGGAATTTAACTACGCCTGCCGATGCTGTGAAACAGAAACCTTAACGGGTTTTGCAGGGAGGGTGGGTTTGGGGTTTTCTTTTTGTCTCATAAACCCTAAAATAACAGGGAATATCTTGCTTTTCCAAATTTACACTTTGGTCACATTTTCACGACCGAACATGCAATATAATTTCATACATCTTTTTTTTTCCCCCTTTTTTCTAAATAGCTCTTGTTCTTCTTTAATTTCTTCTATTGTCCATGGGGAAGGGGAAAAAAAATCTTTCCTCCGTAAGCCAGGGCGTGTCTATGAGGCAACTAAAATCCCGGGGGGCCAATGGGCTGGGAAACCCCTTCTCCTTTTAACATTTACTAAAAAAGAGAAGAAGAAAAACTTTAAAAAAAAGGGTTTTGTTTAAAAGGGCGTGGATGTAGTGGGGATGACAAGAAAACAGATGATTGCTGATGTTAAAAATAAAAAAAGGGTTGGAGGGCCCTGGCCCTAAGCGAAAAAAAGCGGGGGGGGGGTGGGGAGTTTCGGGGGGGAAATTAAATGGGATTAAAAATCGGAGAAACTGAAAGATTTAAAGAGCAAAAAAGGGGTAGATTAATGTTAAATGATCGTTAGGGAAAGGGAAAAAAAAGGGAAAAATATGAATGTGTAAATTAAAGGGAATTTTTGGGGTTTAAAAGGGAAAAGGGGGGATGCGAAAAGGGGGTCTTTAATAAGCGTTATCCCACCTGGAGAAGAGAGGAATGTAGAGGAGAAAAGAGAGTTTTGGGGGAGATGTTAAGGAATGTATGGGAAACCTTTTGGGAACCCAAGTGAAAAGAGTAATTGTGGTGGGGGAACCTAAAATTGCAAAAGTAGGAAAAAATTTTTTAGAGGGGGTTTGGGGTAGGAAAGTTTGGGGTCCCGGTTGTAAATGAAATGGGACCCCTTTGGATTGAACTTTGTAAAAAAGGGGGTTTAGTTATAGGTAATAATTTTTAAAAAAAAGAGGAAAGTATCAAGATATGATGTGGGGCAAAATGACAGTATTTTTGGGGGGGATTTGTATTGGTAGTAAAAGACTTTTTAGTAGACTTCGGGATGTACAGTTTAAAAGGGGCCACAGTTATATCAGAAACTTTCTAGTTGAGTTTAATTTGAGAGAAAAAGGTAGAGGGGTTAAAAGGAGAATAGAAGCATCAGGGAAGGAGAGGTAAAGGGTTTTATAAAAAAAGAGGGGCAGTTAGGGAAAGATATAAACAGCAAATTGGAGGATAGATGGGCTAATGAGGGGCATAGGAAATGGGGTCAAAAGAGGTAGGGGGTAGGTTTAAAATGTAGTTTTAAAGAGTTTTCACCCAAAGTTTGTTTTTACAGGAAAGGGGTGCGGGGGGGGAAGAGGAGCGATTGGGGGAATGATGAGGGTAAAAGAGAGTAGAAAGGGGAAAAAAAAGTTAGCATATGAGAAGTTTTTACAATTAGAAGTGAGGGCAAGGAGGGGAAGGTATATGGAAAAAAAAGAGAGGGGTTTAAAAAGAGTGGTGAAGCAATGTAAAAAGAAAGCAAAGAGAGAGTGGGTAAATGTTATCAAAAAAATTTTTGTTAAAAATAAGAAAAATTTTTGGGAAAGTGAGATTAAAAAATTTGGGAAACTAGAGAACAAATAGATTTGCCATTTAAAAAATTTGGAGAGGAGAGTTATTAAATGGAGAGTTAGAGGTATTGGGAAGAGGGGGGAAATTTTTTTTGGGGGAAATTGTTAAATGTTGATGATGATAGGGAAGCTGTGTTTTCGTGTGTAGGGCAAGGGGGAAAATAACTCTTGTGGGAGTGGGGAAAAAGAGCCAGTTGGGGGGAGGGAAGTTCTGAGGCAGTAGGTAAAATAAAAGGGGGGAAAGGCACCCGGGATTGATGGGTAAAGATGGGAAATTTAAAAAGCAGGTGGGGAATAGTTTTGGAGGGGTTTGGGTTTCCCAATTTTTTAATAAATGTATGGAAGAGGGAAAGGGTTTCCTAGGGATTGGCGGGGGAGCATGAATAGTTCCTTTTAAAAAGGCCCAAAGGGAAAAAAAGGGAGAGTGCAAAAATTATAGGGGGAAAGTCTTTTGACTATACCTGGAAAAGTGTAGGGTAAAGTTATTATTAAAAAAGAATTAAGAGTAAGACGAGGTTTGTATTCTTGATATTTACATGGGGGAAAACCAAAAATGTGTCGTCATAATTTTCATCCACACGGGATATGGGAAATACTTTTTTTTTTTTTTTTTTATTATCAACCCGGGCCCCGTTCCCCCCAAAGGGCAGGGGGGCCCGAAAAAAAAAAACTTTCCCCAAAACTTTCACCCATCACTTTTCTTCCCGAAGGGTGTTTTAAACACTACATTTTTTTTTAAACTGCAAAAAATTAAACCCCCTCCTTCAGAGTGCGGGCACTGTATTCCCAACTCCAGGACCGGCCCGGGCCCTCCCGGTTTTTCCTGAACCCCTTTCATAAATGTTACTTTGCCCCAAAACTCCAACAGCCGTAAAGTATTAAAAACCTTTTGTCCCCCATTCACCCCCTATAAAACACGCTCACCCCATGCCTGCTGGAAGTCCAAGCCCCTCGCACACAAAAAACCCCCTTTTCCCCCCCCCTCCATCCCTTTCCCAGGGGCCCACCCCTACCCCGCCTTTCCCTTCCCCTACCCGACTGAACACTCTTGAATCATTTTGTTTTTGCTCCAGTTCTCTAAACATGTCCGAAACCCCTCAACAACCCTTCCCAGCCCTCTGGACAAAATTTTTTTTAATCCCCCACCTCCTCCCAACTTCCAAAATAAGAATTTTCTGCATTAAAAATTTACACCACACATTGCCCTCAGAATGACCTCTCCACTGCCCCCCAGCCTTTTCCTCGCTGCAACATTCAAACCCCCCCGCTTTTAAACCCATAAAAGGTTGGGAAAAATAACTTAACATTCCCCCTCTTTTCCTCCCAAGGAAAAAAGTTCTTTTTCTTCCCCCGCTCCAAATGCACCCCTCACTCTTTTTTTTCCCCCAAAATTCTATGATCACCTCATTTTTCCTAGAACCCCCTTTCCCCTGGGCAAACCCCCCTCCCAAATATTGAATACTTTTACCTCCCCAAACCTCCCCCCTCCCAAACTATATTTAATCTTTCATCACCCCAATCTTTTTGTTATCCTTTAAAAACCTTACTCTTTCCGGGTTTTACCTTTTTAATTTTTTTTCTTTTGCAACCCTACCAAATTTTATCCCCCAATCTCTCAACTTCTCTTTAAAACTCCCAAAAAGCACGGGGTCCCCTCAGCAAAGGGGCACTGGGACAAAACCCCCCTTTGTGTTTTGATTTTTTTCTTTTTTAAAATCCCGCCTCTTTCCAAGACCCTCGCTTTTTCTTCTTTTTTCAACCCCAAACTATAAAAAATTTTTAAACAAAAAAAAGGTTTACATCACACATCCTTTTCTAAGGGGCCTACTTTTACTGGGAAAAAAATTTTCCCCCTTTTAAAATACTCTAACTTTAGCCTCACTATCCTCGTAAAAACTTTTTCATGCTTTCAGTAACCCACCTCCTACACCATTTCACTTTCCAAAAATCTGCCACATTGCCCCCCTATCCACCCTGTCATACCCTTTTCCCCAAAACCAAAAATTTCCCAAAAACCTCTTTGCCTTATCTAAATTTCTGTTAATTATTGTTTCACTGTAAACCCTGGTCCACCCACCCCCACCTTTTCCTAAAGCCTCCTTTTTTTCCCTCTGCTAACCTATTCCCCCGTCTTAAATCTTAATTCTTTCAATTATAACTCCCAACCCCTAAAAATTTCCAGTAAAAACTCAACAACTTATCCCCCCCATAATTTTTGCACCCCTCTTTTAAACCCCTTTGGGTTTTTTCAAAAAGGAAAATATCCAAATTTTCTCTGCCAAAACCCCAGGTACCTTACCCCCTTCCATACATTTATTAAATTTAAATTTCACCCCAAACCCCTCCAAAACTATATCCCCCCCCCGCTTTTAACATTTTTATTTTATCCCCTCAATCCCCGGGTGCCTTTCCCCCTTTCATTTTACCTAATGCCTCACGGGAAATTCCCCCCCACTCACAACTGGCTCTTCCTTTACTCCTAAAAAAGATGTTATTCCTCCTTGCCCTATTCAGGGAAAACACAGCTTTTCCCCTTTTTTCAACAACATTTTAAAAATTCCAAAAAATTTTTTTCCATCTTCCCAATACCCCCTAACTCTCCATTTAAAAAAATCTCCTCCCTATTTTTTCCCGAACCCAAAACCATTTGGGTTTTCTAGGCTTTCTTAACTTGTTTAATCCCCACTCCAAAACTTTTTCCCTTTTTTTCAAAAAAATTTTTGATAACAAACTCACCCCCCTCTTCATTTGCTCTCCTTTTTCATTGCTTCACACCTCTCTTAAATTCCTCTTTTTCTCCTAAATCTTTCCCCCCTTGCATACTTCTACTTTGTAAAAAATTTTTTTCCCTAAA